GGGGGGGGGGGCTGTTCTGATTGACTCCAAGGAACGTGAAAGGACCAAGGTCATCATGATAATACCTTGCCTCAAAACACATGGCAGAGGGCAGAAATGGCCGTGGATTGGCCTCTACTATCTCCATGTAACCTTCTTCATTCCAAAGGGCTAGTTGCTGATGCAGAGTGGAAGGAACACATAAGCTTTGGTGAATCCAGTCCCTGTTGAGCAATGCATTGTAAGTGGTAGAAGTGGTGTCTACCACAAAGAATGCAACCTTCAGCTCTTTGGTTCCAACTATGACGTCCACATCCAGGATTCCATAAGCCTTAGTGATGCCCCCAGCAAAGTTGGTGATAGTCGAATGCGTTGGAATTAGATCCTTCTCTGTTCTGCCCATCTTGCTTAACAATCTGTGAGGCAGAAGATTAATGACTGCACCTCCATCTACCATTACCTTGGGAATAGGAATACCCCCAAAGTTTGCTGTTATGAACAGAGGTCTGAGTTGATTAGCCATTTCCTTGGTTGGTTTGGGGAAGCAAAGCTGTTCTGCAGCCAGTTTCATGGCAGCTCCACCTGTTTTGGCAGCAGGTGTTTGCTGTTCTGGCGCCTCGTCTACTTCTGCCAACCTGCACTCAAAACTTTCCTGGGAGAACACGTCTCCCTCTAGAGTGTTTTCTTGTCCTTCTACCGCCCTGAATTTTTCTGGCAAGATGAACACCATGTTAATGCCCAGATCACCCTGCAACAGGCTCTCCAATTATGCACCAAAAGCGTCAGTTTCTTCATCTAGTTCTCCATCATACTCCATCTGTTCTTCCCCATACTCTTCTGTCCAGTCCTTTTGTTCTCCTGTTTCGAGGAGCCCAATCTGGTCATCTGCAGACGGTTCATAGTCCAACTGCTCCTCTTCATATTCTTCAGTCCAATCTTCTTGTCCTTCTACTGGAATAGGTTCGGATTCACCTCGAATTTGTGTAGGTTCAAGCTGATCAACTGAGGATGAGGCAGGATGGATGGAAGGTCTGCCTGGAGATTCTGTCTTCATCAACTCTTGTGGTTGATGTGTTGTTTGTTTTGCCCGAGGAGCTACTTCTGGATTCTTCCTTCTTCTGGCAGAACTTGTCTCTAGAAGTACCTGTGTGTCATTCCTGTTCCTGAGGAAGGTACAGTATTGCCTTTGAACTCTCCTCTTCTAAGTTCTGGTTAGCTCAATAGTTGGTCTACCGCTTTTTCCAACGGAATACCATATGCCTTCTATGATAGTTGCCAAAGGCTTGTCATTCCCGGGCAACTTAATTGGTATTTCTTTCTTGGGCTGCTCTATCATTCTTCTGCTGTGCTGAGCAGGCCTAAGATAGTCCTTCTGTCTGGCTCTGTTTTTAGATGGAGCCGGAATTGGGCCTTGTTGGTATGATGTTCCAATCCGGTCAAAAACGCTAGGTGTGGGCTGACTCTGCCTATCCAGAGTCACTTCTAACTCACTTTCACACTTGCACTTGCTGCACAGCACTACCCCAACCAAGATGGTTGCCTTTGGCCTTTGAGTAGTCTCCCCTGTGACTCTTCTGCCCCTGCTGGAGCTAGCTTCTGTTGCTGGTTTGTTTCTCTTCTGTTCTGGCTAATTTAAGTTGACTATGTTGACTTGAGCTCTTCTGTTCTGGCTAATTTAAGTTGACTATGTTGACTTGAGGTTGGGGAAAAGGATCTGTTGTCACTGAGGGAGGTTTTTTCGCCAGTTTTAACCTTCCTGCTGTTATTCCTTCCTGTATGACGTCTCTGAAAACAACACAACTGTTGGTGGAATGGTGCCAAGAATTGTGCCACCTGCAATACTGTCTGCCCTTGAGTTCTTCTGGCTTGGGCAACCTGTGGGGTGTCTCTATTGCCTTCTGTAGCAACATCTCATCAAACAAAGCATCAACCTTGGTTAGATCGAAGGAATAGACCTTGTTCTGTGTTGGTTTGTTTAGAACAAACCCTCCTGTGAATGGTGGCGGCTTCTAGTCCTTTGGTGGCTTTGTAAGAGCTTTGCAGCTGATGGGGTGTTTTAACTTTGCCATTTCTGCCACTGCAATTTCTCTTTCCTCCGAGCCTTCTATGTCTTCTTCTGATTCTACCTCAACCAGATGGACTGAAGAAGAAGGGGTCTTCTAGTATGTGCCTTTGGAAAAGTTCCTCTTATGTTGTTCTTCCCTGAACAGCTCCTCATATTTAGATGCTTTGTCTGCCAGTTCTGCCATATCTCCAAGCAGCATCCCATCAAATATTTTCCTCTAAAATATTTTAAGGGTGGCTTGAGCCATCTGAATGAAGTGTCTTTCTTCCATAGGGATTCGACATTTCATCTTGTGCTTTCTGAATCTGGTTATGAAGTCCTGAGCAGGTTCATCTTCACTTTGTTTGAGGGCAGCAAGATCACTGATGGTGACTTCTGGCTGGATCCTGAAATAGTAGTCATGGAAGACATTTTCCATTTGCTCCCAGGTTTGAACAGAGTTAGCTGGTAGACTGGTATACTGGGTAAAAGCTTGTCCAGAGAGAGAATTTCCAAAAAGCCTCAATTTTAGCAGAGGGTTATTTTCTATGGCTATGCATTGGATAGAGAACCTGCCTATGTGCTCAACTGATGAAGCATGAGGATCCTCTCCGTTAAACAAGGTGAAGTTTGGTACCTTGAAACCTGGGGATAGAGGTATCTAATCTATGTAAGCCGGATATGGCTTTCTGTAGGTGGGCCTTTCTCCACTTCTGGCTTCAGGCTCCATCATCTCCCTGATCATTCTCTGTAGTGCCCCCATGTCATTCAAAGCATTGACAGGTGTCGGCTGCGTAAATCTCACGGCCTGGGGTTCCGGATCGAGGGGATGTGCGTTAACACGTGGCTTCCTGGTTTTGGATGCGGTGCGGTTGTGCGCGGGCGTGCCAGCACGGTCTACCGTGCGTCGAGATGTTGATGTGGATAGAATGGTCAAGTGGTGTGCGTGTTTGAACTCATCTTCTAATCAAATGATTGTAGCCGAGAGAGGAACTGATCTCGGCTGTTAGGTTCACGGCCTGAGCTACAAGGCCGTTTAGGGGTGGTGAAAATGGTGGGTTTTGGGCGGTGCTCCGGCGCGCTGCTCAGTGAGCGACGGTCGAATGATATATGGGGTGAATGAATGGGTAACAGAGATGGTGCTCCGGCGCCTTGAAAATCAAGGGTCGTATGATATATTGATGAATGGATTTTCCTTACAAATTAACACTACTCCTAGGAAAGCAAGTAAAGATATTGAAAGTGCATTACAGGAAAGTATAATTTGCTCCGTGGGAGGCTTTTGTTTGGTGTTTGAACCCTGTGAATGTAGCTTGAGCCTTGTACTTATAGGAAGTGTTCTTGGAGGAGTAATCGAGGCTAAAAATCTGCATGGTGGAGCTGATTAGAGCAAGTGGGTAGTCCAATCGACATTTAGGATCGTGAAGCATGGTGGTGTGACCCCATAAATCCCGGTGAATCTCGGCCGCCGCCCTAATCGTGGGTTCTGCACTTCTGGTCGTGGAGACGCATTTATTGTTCTGGTAGTTGGTGACCCAATCTCTCAAACTGCAAGAATTCTTGTGAGAATGTCTGCGTCTAATCACTCTGATTCCTATCACCAAACAAAATGGATTCAGTTGCATCCTCAACTTGTGATACTCGCAAGTGCACGAGCCGTTTTCCCTCGTGCATTAAATGCTTATTCGTGGCCAGTGGGTTTGCTGCAATAAACAGAGGCATTGCTTCATTAAATGAAGCATGGGACCCTACTGCCACTTGATGATCTGACGTTAGTACCTTTGGCCATGATTTTGTTCGACTTTGGCCTCGGCCTATAATCAAGGCCGAGATGATCATGCCTTCGCAACTTTTCCTTTGCTTTTTAGGAAGGCCAAACATCTTGGCGAAACGCCGCATTTTAGTTTCACGAGCAAGTGTTAGGGCCGAGAAAAAAGGGCCCCTTAGGTCAGTTCATGGCTGTGATTTATTAGGCGCAAACAGCAGGGTGCGGATTTTGCCCCTGTTCTGGCTGGTCGTGGTCAACCCTGTGCTCCATTCTGTATGGCCTGGGCAGAGCTTCCTCCCTGTGTTCTTCCTCTTCTTCATAATCTGGATGATTCCTCCAGTTTGCCCTCGGTCTGCTCCTATCATTGTTGGCAAAGGGGTTGATCCCCCCTCTGCCTCTTCTGGCCCTTGCTGGTGGAGGGAATGGATTGGGGTCCATCCTTCTACGTCTGTAGGGCAACACAGTTGGTGCTTCATGAAGAAGTGGCAAGGGTTGATCACGTGGGGCCACAGGTTGTGAAATAGGTGGAGGTTCTGGCTGATTTTGGGGAACCTGAACTGGTGCAGGGCCCTCTGGCCTGACTGGAACTTCATGCTCCTGGACAGGAAGGGCTCCTCCCCTATGTCCAGCCTGGACCTCTCCAGGTCCTGGTATTCCAGCTATCTGTGCGATGAGAGGGTTCTCTTGATATGGCCACGCCAGTCCTGGTGGAGGTCCGTAAGGGAGGTCTAGCGGCTG